TAGGAATAAATAACAATGTATCCATTGATATCATCAGGACCAACTGCTTTATTTTGCTTTAGCATTTTAAAAGCTCTATCAAATTCATCAAAAGACAATTCAAAAGAATTTAGACAAGATACTAAAGGAAAACTACATCTGTTTATTATTCTATTTATATTAGAAATTTTCTTTGCTAAATTTGGTCCAACTGAAGTAAAGAATTCATTCATTTTATTAGCTACCTTTTGTAATCCATGGTGACGTGAAATCTTTATTTTTTTTTTAGCATTTTATGTTGAGGAAAATTAATATCATAAATTTCAAAAAATGTTTTTAAAAACGAATTAAAGGCTAAATTAGCATCATTAGAATCTGTGTGTTTCCAATGAAGTAAAGATAATTGTTCCTTAAAAGCAATGCAATTCGCTTCCGTAAAAAAACATTTAATGAAAGGTTTATTTTGGTGTAGAATTTTTTTGATGTCTGTGTTTATGGAGAAAAAAATAGGAAAGTGGTCAGAGACGTCACTTTTAATAATACCTTTTTTTAAAGATAAGTTAAAAACGTCAGTTGTAATTATATTATCTAATATAGATGATGATGTTGATGATATTCTGGTAGGCTTATTTATTAACGGTATCGCTCCAATTTCAAAAATGCCATTTTAAAATTTTTTAATGTTATTATTAGTATGGTATTCAAAGCAATTTAAATTAAAATCACCAATTATGTAGTTTAATTTCCTTTCGTGGATACTTTTTTTAATTATATCATTATCTAAAAATGCATTAAAATTCTCAACTACGCCATTTGGTGGGCGATAACAACAACTTAAAATTATATTTTTGGTATTTTTAGTTGAAATATAAATACTTAAAACCTCTTTATCGCCATCAGTAATACTTAAGTCTGGCCTGTTAATAAACCGCAAGCATTCATTCAAGTAAAAAATAACACCACCACCTTGCTTTTTATTTTTACGCGCTAAAGAAATTAAATTAAAACCTGGAAGATAGAAATTTGAGTTTTTAACATCGTCAGAGCAGCACCATGTCTCTGTAATACATATTATGTTAAAAATATTAGAAGTTTCTTCTATATTACTATGAAAAGTATCAAAATTTTTTTTTAAGCTTCTTATATTAAAATGAATAACATTAAGAAAATCCCCTTTAAGAAAATTTTTCAATTCATTGTTATAAAAATAAGAGCAGTTTTGCAGAGCACCTGCTTCACTAAAATAATTTATGTCAGGATCGGTTTGAATCCATTTTAGAATTTAAATAATTTTATAACTATGGAATGAAAATAAAATTTACTTAAAATCGCGTGTGAATAATTTATTATAAGTAACCTTAGCATACTTTCCTTTTCTTCGTAGCTCTTTGCTTACGCGAATAACTTTCTTCTTATTTCCATAGTACGTTTACTAAAATCTTCATTTATAAACACATTTTCTTTCCAGAGTTAGCCTTTACGAATTTTTCCAAAATCGCATTCTTGTCTTTAAAGCTTAAAAATTTTACAACAATAGTTCTATTTTTTCTTTTATCACCCAACTCCTTTTTTCCAACTCTATGAGCTCTTTTAATTTCAATATTACCATTTAGTCCCAATTTATCTTTTAAAAGTTCTTTTATTTTACCTTCAGTTTCTTGCCAGGTTTCAATTTCCTTTTCTTCTATACCATTAAATCTAAAATTGTTTCGGCGACTCCTATCTTCAAGTTCAGCCAACTTATCTTTAATAACGTTATCATTTCCTAAATTCATTTTTGCATCGTTCAATTGATATGACATTGTTGCTTTTTTAGAAACATCTATTTCCGATAGTAAACTTTCATATTTGTCACTGACAAATTCAACACTTTTTTTCAGGTCACTTACTTCACTTTTTAAACTTTTACTTTCTTCCTGGATAACTAATATTTTGCTTTCTAGTTTATCAATCCTGTCGCTAAATAACTTCATTGTTGTGTTTTCGTGAATATCCATTATTTCTTTTAATTGAGCAATTGTAATATTTTTATTAGCCATTTTTTAAGTTCAATAATAAACACGTCCGTTCGCTAAAGTGTTCACAAAAGTTTTCCTTAAAGTTTTCACTTCGATAAACTGTCTTGATAATACTGACTGATTGACTTCCATATACTGACTGATTAATTATTAAGTATTAAAGACATGAGAGTATATTTAACCTTCATAACACAGTCGCACATCAAAGTAAAGGTCAGCCCCAGCATGCTTTTTTCTGCATTTTGAGCAAAGTTTGGTTGGAAGGCCTGAGTTATTAGCTAAATAATCTTTTTAGAATATTGTTTTGATAAGGTTTGAGTAAGCTTTTTTCTTTTTATTTAAATTTGTATTTGTTATTTCAGAAATGATGTTGAAATCAAACTAGGTGTAGATGGAGGGTGGAGGTTCCTTAAAGTTACTCTATCAATTACCCTAAAACAATAGTTAGAAAATAATAAAATCTCAAATAAATTGAGAAAGTGTGACAATACGTTTAAAGATTTCAATAATTCAAGTGTATACAAACCTTGGCTTTTTTGTCTTCATTTAACAAAAAATACCATAATCTTCGAATAAATTTGCATAAATTTAACATTTCTTCTTTATTTTGCACAGTATATGAAGATCTCAAGGTTTTGCTTAAAGTTGTAAGCTAACAATTTACAGCAAAACTTTAAGATCTTCATATACTGTGCAACCTGTAGTGTACTGTGCAACCTGGAAGAAATGCTGAATTTATGTTTTCTAATTAGAAAACAGGCTTCAACTTCAAAACATTCTTGTCCGTTTTGCATGAGCTCATCTTCTAATATCTTCAAAAACTTGATTATTATTCTTTAGAATATTTATGCAGATTATACAACCAATATATTTGCAGGTCTAAAATTAAAAAATGAAAAAATTTACACAACTTTACTAACAGGGGACAAAAATAAAAAACAACAGAACTTGTAAATATTTCCGGTTTACATATACTGTTAGGTGTTGTAGATAAACTTTTAAAAGAAATTAAAAAAAAAATGTTTGAAAACAAGAAATGTAGGTTACAGTTTGTCAACTGATATCTTTCTACGATAAACATCTGCAGAGTATCTTACCAAGGCCAACATCGTTAGGAAGGCAAAGCTTGTAATAATTTGCTTAAAAATTTAGAAAGCTTTGAGCTGCTTATTTCAGAATCCAGTCTTGGAGATCCCGTTTCCAAATATACTAGTGATTTTGAAAAAATAGTCCATGGATGTTTCGGAAAATCATTAATCTCTACTTATATCAAAGATACAAAGAAGTTCTCTTCGAGCTATAGAAATCTAGGGGCTACAATTCGAATTCGAATTCATTGACATAAAAGATGGAGTCTTCCATAAAAGATTATAATAATTTAATTAATTATAATAATACTAATTAAATACTTATTATTACAATAATGCAACAGTTTTTGCAAGTTAAAACTTGCATAAACTACGACGATTATTTATTAAATAGGCTTGAAGTTCTTTTGTACATTTTGTATTCTTTAGGCTTAGGTTACTCGACCAAACAAGCTCTCAAATTGATTCAATCAGTTTCAATCAGTTTTAGCTTGAAAGTTAAAGAACACACTCTAAATTATATTGAAGTACTAAAAAACACAGTTATTGCTTACAACTAAAAACACTTTTAAAATAGCTTTTAATTTGCAGGTAGCTTGTAAAAAGTTCAACATTAAGCTCCTACAAACAATTTTTTAACATAATATTTTGATATATGATATGATGATATATGACATGCAAAATATAAAAAATAATCTAACCACTTAGATCGGAAATTGTTTTTTTTTTTTTACGGCGATAAAGTTATTGTAGCTAATCCTATTGGACCCCTAATAGCCCACCTATAGGATATGGTTTCTAAAAAAAAATTTACATTTTTTTTGCGTTAAATAAAACTAGATCGAAATTCATTGAGAGTCAATTTTCATTAAAAAATCTTTAGAGATGTAGTTTTAGGAAAGGGGCAATTAAAGTTGGGTACGGGCTATTGTTAGTTCCAATTACATAATTTTGTAATAAAGCTTGTGTAATAAAGTTGCTAAAAGTATAAGATTATTGTATAAAGCTAGAAGTGCTTTAAATAAACGCAATTTAACTCAATTATATTACTCCTTTATCCATTGTTATTTAAATTATGCAAACATTTTTTGGTGTAGTGCTAATAAATCCAAACTTAGGCTTCTTTATTGTCAACAAAAGCATGTTGCTTGACTTATTAATTTTAAAGATATATTTAATCAAGCCAAGCCTCTCTTATTTGAAATGAAAGTTCTTGATATATATCAGCTAAATGTTTTTAGTATTATTTGTTTTATGTAAAAATGTAAAACTAACTCCAACCCAGTTTCTTTTCATAACTTATATACCTTAAAAGACAACTTAAAAAATAAAACTTCAGAAGTAATAATTTAATTTGTCAATCATTTTTTCAAACTAATTTTGGAAGGTTAAGCATTTTACTTCGTGGTACTTCTCTTTAGAATAAAATAGTTTTAAATATTTTAATTTTTCTTTGGAACGGAGTTATCTCTCATTCAAAAAAAAAAGCCTAAGGAAATCATTTTGTCTATAGATGATATATTTTTGTATTTTTAAACATTAAATAATTTACTTTTTTATTTTTTATGCAGTGAAATAACTGAATATGTATATGAATGCACTTAAATTTTTTTTGTGCTTTATACACTGGAACATGTATGTATGCATTCGATTTTTATACGATTTTAAATTTACTAGCAGTTCTCGATGAGAACTTGATGGTCTTCCGGAAGTGTCCGTTTTCTTTTTATTTATTAAATCAAATACTTGTATATTTTGTATATATATATATATATATATATATATATATATATATATATATATATATATATATATATATATATATATATATATATATATATATTGTAGTTGTAAAAGGATTTTTTAATCTTAATGATTTAAGTTATTTGTATAATGACTTTTATACTTCGTCTGAGTTGTTGATAGTGAAGATATAGTTACTACTTACTGAATTGTATCAACAGGTTGCACATACGTTACAGCAGGTGATATAAACATATACTTAGATATCAAAGAACTATATAGCAAAAGCTTTAAAGTAATACTAGATGTACTAAATTTAATACAATAAGTCAAAGAACAAACTCATAAAATGGGACACATACTAGATGTATTAATTAACGAGCCAGATGAAATATCAGTAATTATGGTCGCTGTAACAAACTTAGATTTAAGTGATCATTTTCTCATTGATTTTAAAGTAGAAGGAAAAAAAAATAAAAAATTATACCAAACAAACACATACAGGAATTTAAAAACAATAGACATACAGTCCTTTAACAATGAAATATCAAGAAATAAACCTGAAATATCATCAGCTGAAAATATGAAAGACAAAATAACTGTATATAACCAAATAATGAAAGAGATTCTGCAGAAACATGTTCCTTAGAAAACAAAAAGGGTAGAAATAGTCAAAACAGCTCCTTTTTTTCACGGAGAATATATGCAACATAGGCAAAAACAAAGAAAAGCAGAAAAATTGTTTAAGAAAACAAAAAATGAACGTGACAAAAAAGAATATAGACGCCTCAGGAAAAAAAACAACTATAATTAATTTTCAGGAATAAAAAAAATACTATAATTGCTTATATAAAAAAAAGAATACATTTCTCTAATCTATTAAATAAAAACACTACAAGTAAAAATCTGATGATTTTGATACTCAATGTGGTTCACATATAACTAACTAAGCTAACTAGACAGACGTCATCAAGCGTTCGCTCAATGTGTTTATACATATAACTAACTAAGCTAACTAGACAGACGTCATCGAGCGTTCGCTCAATGTATTTATACATATAATGTTAAAGCCGTAAAGTTATAGAGAGATTCGAACCCTGGACGATCGGTTCATGGCGGTTTACAACATAGTGAGGAAATGATACGATGCACTATGCTACGTCGACGTGTTGTTTAAGCGTGTTTTGAATTCATTTAAATTGTCATTTTAACACTTTACGTAGAGATTTTTTTCTACACAGAGATTTTTTTAAAGTTGTTTACGCACATTTTAAGGGAAATTCCCTGAGAAATTCCCTATATAATCCTACGTAAAAAGCAAGATTAAAAGTGTCTAAATATAACTTGTTTGTCACAAAAATCTATTATTTTACTTAATCTATAAAGATTAAATATTTTTGTATAAAAGCTGCATTTTTTTATATCAAAAATCAAATGGCAATTACTAAAGTTATATCTAGAAAAAAAATGTGGGAAAAGAAAATTATACCAACAATTGTTATAGATGATGATCAGGAGTTGGAATTTCATCCCATCGACTTAACGATGGATGAATTCATCGATACGTTGAACAAAAAAACACAAAACCAACCTACCTTAGAAATTAAAGAAATAGGACCGCAAAAAAAAATACAGATTTTCAAGTTAATATAACAAAAAAGGTAATTTATAAAAAAATTATTTTTTTTAACTTAAAAAGAACAATTTTTTTAAGTTTTTTTTTTATTTTTTTTAGAAAAAGAGCAAATACAAGCTCAAAAGAAATAAAGCAAGAAAAATTAAATTTTTAACAAAGAAAATTCAAGACGAAATGTTATTTTTTCAAGAACAAATTTAATTATTTTTTTATTATAATAAAATATATTGTTTATTTATTTTTTCTTTTTTTTACATCATTGGTAAACAAGCTACTAGATAAAACTCAAGAATATGTACTACCAACAGCCAACTCAGACGAAGAACTAGCTGAAAACTTAAATAATTATTTTACTGTAAAATCAGAAAACTCATGTCTGATCTTCAAGTATTCCATACAAAGAAAAACATATCATATTATAATGGTCAGATTTTAAGAAACTTTGATCCAACGACATACGAAGAAATTTACAAAATCATGTCATAATAGTAAAACCATGTCATTTATAATAGTAAAACGTAGAATAAAACGTTCAGAATTATTTTAAACATTTTTAAGTACACTCTGTATCACAGACAAGTTTTCTACTCTAATACTATTTAAAAATTTGCGTCTCCAGGCACAGTGCTATCTCCAGATGGGAGAGGTTTTGCCAACTTTATCCACTATTCTGGTAAAACACAGTAGCTGTGAGTAAACATATGTATTTATTTATTTTCTTTACTGTGTTCCACATACTATTTATAGAGTTATTTAAATAGGCTCCCAAATATTTTTTTCTACACCTTTCTTATAAATAATATCATTCATATGAAGGCAATAATTCAGTATAATCAATTATTGACTGCTTGATTATCTGATTTATTTTTTTAGCTGGTGGGTGTCTTCCTCTCGCATCTGGAGATAGCACTGTGCCTGGAGACGCAAATTTTTAAATAGTATCCGAGTAGAAAACTTGTCTGTGCTACAGAGTGTACTTAAAAATGTCTAAAATTAACTCTCACTCTATTGTTATGTTCAGCGACTGAGAGATTATAAACTTGTATTTCTAATGCCATTTTTTGAGTTATCAATTGGTCTAGATCGTGCAATATCTTTGATGTCAATTAGTCACATAGTTAATTGACGTTGCAGTTCCCAGCTCTCGGTTTACCAAAACTGCTGGCAATTTTGAATTTTAATTCTTTGCTGATATGTAATGGTACTCTAGCCTTTCTTGATGAAAGTTTCTTGCTGAAATGGTATTGCAACGTTTTTTTAATCCCTTAGCAGGATTTAATTTTGAATTTGAAACAGATTTATTTTCCAATCTTTTCAGACGATTAGTTTGAGTTTTCACCCTTTTCCACTGAGATTTATCTCCTCTCTTTTGTCGTTTCTCTAAAGTCCAATCAACATCATAATGAAA